GTGTGTCCCATTTTTTTCTGCTCTTTCTCTTTCTGCAGGTCTAGAAGCAGACTCTTGTTCATTATTGTTTATTTTTGTGGAACCCCCCCCCCCCCCCCTTCTTCCCACCTTTTGTCTTTTCCTTTCTCTTTCACCTCTGTCTCCGTGTCTGGTCGGAATTACAAAGCATTCAAAAACAATAACAATAAAGTTTTAAGTATCAGGCGTGACATTAAAAGCAGACGCTTTGATGCTCCACCTGAGAGTAAATCTGTAAGGCTTGTCACCAGCATTCAGACATCAATTCTGTTTGCTTCACAGCCAGACAGGACACGGTTATAAAAAAAAGGAAGCTTGGAGTGACCTTTGACCCAGTGGGAGACTGGAGGTGTGGCGTGAGAGCGTGTGAAGAGGGTCGAATGCGTGTGTCTCACACTCAGTGTGTGTGAGTTGGCAGCCCTGGCTTCCTTCTTCAATGAGGTTTTGGTTAGTAATTGATTGGGAGAATAACAAGTGACTGAAGTGGATAGTGTTGATCAGGCAGAGCTTTCAATGGCTTCAAACACGTATATAATAGTGTTAGTTTTTTGTAAACCATCGGATGAAATTACACAATCTGACTGAGCTCTAGTTAAGACTCTTGCAATTGTTTGTGTATGTGTACGTACGTGCATGTATGTGTTCAGAGGTGGAAAGAGTACTAAAAATTCCTACTTAAGTACGAGTATCAGTACTTTGATCATTTTTACTCAAGTACAAGTAAAAGTACTTGCCTAAATTTTTACTCAAGTAAAAGTGAAAAGTATCATAAATAAAATGTACTCAACGTAAAAGTTACTTAGTTACACTATTGTCAGCGTAAAGATGGTTACATCAGTGCAAAACCACAACACCAGTTCACAACACGCTTGTGTGTGCACGCTCACACATGGACACACACACAGTTTGATGGAAGGATTTCTATCCAATCAGTGAGAACAGGACGTGCACATTGATTGGACGAGGTTTTTCTAGGATTGTACGTTTCAACTGTGATTAAAATTATTCTTTATTTTGAAAGAAAAACATTAATTTTTAGATGCCATCAGCATGTGAGGTATCTCAATGTTCTCATGACAAAACTCTAACATGAGACTGCTCACACATGGACACACATAACAAGCTAAATGAAAGTCAAACATGTCAGATGGAGCGTATGACAGCTGCTAACGTTGGCCCTGCCCTACTTTACCTCTACATTACAGTTCCTTTATCCATGTCCATCCTAGAGCTCCTCTCTGACCTTCATGCTTATTTAGAGCAGCTGATTTTTAAAGTTAGAGTTCATCCTTGGTGGTGGGTTCATTCACTCATGTAACGTGATGAAGGAGCTATTCCACCGAAGGTTATTTACCCTCTCTCCTCAGATGTCTCTGACACAGAACTAATCTGCATGAGACTGCCTCAAGGTCATGCATTTGCTTCTAAAACTTCTTCTTTCCAGCTTGAGAAGAAAGAAGACAAACTCTTTCTATTTTTAATAAAGCTAATCAAACAAAGTGTTCGTCAATGATAAGATGTGAACCAATCTGTGAAATGACAATGTTAAGATTAGTAAGTTTTAATAAGTAATATGACTTTAATCTAGCTGCACTAGACATCCTGATCGACATGACACATTTTATCTTTCTCATCCAGCCGGAACCTTCCTTTCTGAAGCGTGCCATAGTCTCTGTGGTGTTTATAAATCTGTCAAACTTTGATCCGACCAAAAATCAAAACATCCAGATTAATAAAACCAGTCCCCACGCCATCTTAGTTCAGTTCACCACATTCTAAGAGAAGTATTGGACCGGCCACCTGGACTTCCTTTTTAAGCAAAGAACCAACAAACTGGATAAAATCTGTTGCATTTTTTCCAACCAAGCAACGGTTCCTTTCAGAATAAAAGCTGAAGTCACTGACCCTCCGGGTCCATCTGACGCTGTCGACCAACAGTCGCTTTTTACCTGGAGACAATCCCAAGACTAGTCTGTCGTACTGCTGACGCCGTTTCATGCTGTGTATATGTGTATGTGCATGAGTGTGTGTGTGTGTGTACGTGCGCATGAGTGTGTGTGTGTGTGTACGTGCATGAGTGTGTGTGTGTGTGTACGTGCATGAGTGTGTGTGCGTACGTGCATGAGTGTGTGTGTGTGTGTGTGTGTGTGTGTATGTGCATGAGTGTGTGTGTGTGTATGTGCATGAGTGTGTGTGTGTGTGTGTGTACGTGCATGAGTGTGTGTGAGTGTGTGTGCGTACGTGCGTGAGTGTGTGTGTGTGTGTGTGTGTGTGTGTGTGTGCATGTGTACGTGCATGAGTGTGTGTGTGCATGTGTACGTGCATGAGTGTGTGTGTGTGTGTGTATGTGCATGAGTGTGTGTGTGTGTGTGTAGGTGTACGTGCATGAGTGTGTGTGTGTGTGCATGTGTACGTGCATGAGTGTGTGTGTGTGTGTGTGTGAGTGTGTGTGTGTATATGTGTATGTGCATGAGTGTGTGTGCGTACGTGCGTGAGTGTGTGTGTGTGTGTGTAGGTGTACGTGCATGAGTGTGTGTGTGTGTGTGTGTGTGTATGTGTATGTGCATGAGTGTGTGTGTGTGTGTATGTGTACGTGCGTGAGTGTGTGTGTGTGTGCATGTGTACGTGCATGAGTGTGTGTGTGTATGTGTGTGAGTGTGTGTGTGTATATGTGTATGTGCATGAGTGTGTGTGCGTATGTGCGTGAGTGTGTGTGTGTGTGTGCATGTGTACGTGCATGAGTGTGTGTGAGTGTGTATGTGTATGTGCGTGAGTGTGTGTGTGTGTGCATGTGTACGTGCATGAGTGTGTGTGTGTGTATGTGTACGTGCATGAGTGTGTATGCGTACGTGCATGAGTGTGTGCATGTGTACGTGCATGAGTGTGTGTGTGTGTGTATGTGTACGTGCATGAGTGTGTGTGAGTGTGTATGTGTATGTGCGTGAGTGTGTGTGTGTGTGCATGTGTACGTGCATGAGTGTGTGTGTGTGTATGTGTACGTGCATGAGTGTGTATGCGTACGTGCGTGAGTGTGTGCATGTGTACGTGCATGAGTGTGTGTGTGTGTGTGTGTTTGAGGGAGGGTACATTGGAACTTTGTCCCTCCAGTTTGAAAATCCTATCTGCGCCCCTGCTATAAGACCCAAATACCTGACCTTGGGCCCCAAGCCTAACCCCCATAACAACCCCTTCTCTCTCTCTCTCTCTCTCTCTCTCTCTCTCTCTCTCTCTCTCTCTCTCTCTCTCTCTCTCTCTCTCTCTCTCTCTCTCTCTCTCTCTCTCTCTCTCTCTCTCTCTCTCTCTCTCCCTCTCCCTCTCCCTCTCCCTCTCTCTCTCTCTCTCTCTCTCGCCTTCTTACATCCCAAACACACTACACTAGATACACAAGCACTGATTGGATGCATCCAAACTGGACAACTACACTCACTGAGACATAACTATGTCTCATTACACCAAATACAGAACATCTCATACAACAAGCACTGCTGGCATGCCTTCTAGCAGGGCACCTGCACCCACAGAGACATCCTTATATCTCAATGCACTCACACGTTTCAAAGATCTCCCCCTTTTCCCTCTCCTACAAAGCACAGCACACAACACACTCCTGTCAGATCTGGACTTCACTGAGACATAACTAAAGCCTCAGCACATCTCATCTCAATAGGGTGACTGCCGACGGCCTCTCGGAACAACCACCAGCAGACACACTTCCCATGAAGACCAAAAACCAGATGCTCAAGATTGGACCTGATCTCGAGTGAGCGTGCACACCTTTGGTTTCCGTACCAAACTCTGCAGAGCCATCGGGCGGCAGGGGTAACCCACGGAGACCAATCACCCAAACCTAACCGTAACCAATGCTGATCCAACCCTAACCCTGACCTTAACTAAAACTTCACACCAACCCTCTAAAACCAACTTGTAAGCTTCTAAAAAAAAGTGAGGACCAAAAAAATGTCCTCACATTGTAGGGAAAATGGTGAAAATAGTCCTCAGTATTTAGTAAGTACAAGTACACACACACACACACACACACACACCAGTCTATAGAACAGAGTTGTTGAATTCTGGGTGAGTAACAGGCCTCTGCATCACTTGATGAGCTGCTGCACAGGTGTTTTGGAGCTGAGAAACCCCTAAAACATGCTGGGAACAGGCCCTCCTGGCCCAGAGTTGAATACCCCTGTTATGGAGAGACGTCTCCGTTTGTTAGTGATGGACGTGTGAATGACCTAAAATGGGGTAATTTTTAAACCGAGGCTAAATATTGGCAAATATCTCAAGTCTTTTCAAGTAAACAGGTTCAAGTGTAAGTCAAGTCCCGAGTGTGGGGCAAAAGTCCAAGTGTTTGAACTCAAGTCTAAGTTAGTCACATTAATGGCTGGAGTCCACACCTCTGCTTCACACAAGGGCAAAAGTATGCTACTTAAAGGCCACAAGCTTGAACCAGTCAAAGTGTAAAACTTCAAATCTGCAGCACCACCCATGTCAGTACTCTGGCTCAGACTGAGAGACCACCTAAAGGCTCAGGAATCCTCTGCAGGTGTTCTGGAGCCGTTGGCTGGTTAGAGTCTAGAAGATTAAACCTTCTCACAATATTCTACTGGTCTGAGATGTTGCATGTGTGGTTTTCACATCACAGGAATGACAAGTACAGGCTTACAGTTCTGGCTTTGCGACTCTTTTGCACGTTTGTTCTGTGTTTCTCTTTGTAATCCTTTTCTTGTTCTTTTTAAACACATTTTAGTAAAAAACAGTTTGTATTTTTTAACCTCTAATGATGGCTAGAGGCTGACTGAAACATGTCAGGTAAAAAACTATTTTTTACTAAACTGTGTTAAAAAAGCGGATGTGGCTTTGCTTCTGATAAATCTGTCTCACAGATCAGTTTAATCTTTTAAGTCTAGTTAATTCAAGTTAAAGAACTTTTGCACCAGATTCTGATTTCTTCTCTTTCACCTGTAGTTTCACACACTCACCGTTTGTTTCTGAGTCCTGGAAGTCGGAGCTCCTCTCTCAACAGCTGACAGGGAAATGAACGTTAAACTGGTTTCACGAGGAGTCTCCACCCAACTGCTACAAGGAAGTTCTCAGCACACTTTCCTTGTAAATGACCCACAGAGGCACAGGTGTGGAATTCAACTGGGAATGTGCTTCTGAGAATGAAGCCATTGTTGAACAGCGGTGACTGCCGTGTTGCAACAGCGGCGTTTCTGTGGCGCTCAACTACAGGCTGCATTCTTTGTGTTGTGGGACCTGAGCTGAAACAGTCAGCTCACAAAAACGATCGCAGGAGGGAAGGCACGCACTTCACTTGCTTTAATAAACTGCCGTTGTAGAGAGATTAGAAATTATTTCCCCGTAAGTCTGAACTTACATAAGAGTTACTGGGAACGGTGACTTCTGACCCCGCTGGAGAGCATTGTCTCTGAGCAGGAAGTAACTAGGGAATAAGTGTCCTGGTGTTATGATTGAAGGTGGAGCTCTGACCCAAGACACGCTGAAACAGGTAAGTGGAACAACAAGATGTTTTATTATCAAACAGGAACTGAAGGTGCACTGGGAAGTCCGGTGAGGGTTTTCCGTCAGGAACTGGGTCTGAGGGGTGAGTCCTTGGAGTTGTTGGGTGACGGTAGAAAGTGTTGGGACTTACGCGTGGCCAGGGAAACGAGAGCAGGGGAGTGTCTTCTGGGTTGGGGGAGTCCTGAGTCCAGGGGTGAGCGATGGGAGAGGAGGAAGGATGTGGCCTGAGGTGCTCCAGAGGGTTTTTGAGGTTCTTCAGCGATGATCACAAGTGGAAACCTGAGGCAAGGGAAAATCCGCTTAACCAAAATCCTACAGCAAGATGTCAATTATACACCATGAACCTGGGGCTGTCTCTGTTGGCTGTGTAAGGTCCAGAAATGGTCCGTTTTCACCTACATATTTACCTTTTCGGTGACCGGTCATCTACAGACGTGAATCTGCCGCTCTGCGTCTCTTAACCTTCCAAGCTGCAGGAAAGATTCGCCACTGCGTGTTTACACTCCGATTGTCAACATCATGTTCCTCCCTCAAGGTTCCTCTCTGCCAAGCTGCGGCCTCGTCTATCCGCCTGCTTCACAGGACAAACGAAGAGCTTTTACAACTCATAAGTTAAACAATCATTAAATAATAATATGGTTGAATGAACAAATGTTATATTCGTCTTCGTCTTCCTCCGCTTATCCGGGTCCGGGTCGCGGGGGCAGCATCCCAACTAGGGAGCTCCAGGCCGTCCTCTCCCCGGCCTTGTCCACCAGCTCCTCCGGCAGGACCCCAAGGCGTTCCCGGACCAGATTGGAGATGTAACCTCTCCAACGTGTCCTGGGTCGACCCGGGGGCCTTCTGCCGGCAGGACATGCCCGAAACACCTCCCCGGGGAGGCGTCCAGGAGGCATCCTGACCAGATGCCCAAACCACCTCAACTGGCTCCTTTAGATCCGGAGGAGCAGCGGTTCTACTCCGAGTCCCTCCCGAATGTCCGAGCTCCTCACCCTATCTCTAAGGCTGAGCCCGGCCACCCTACGGAGGAAACTCACTTTGGCCGCTTGTATCCGCGATCTCGTTCTTTCGGTCGTTACCCAAAGCTCATGACCATAGGTGAGGATTGGGACGTAGATCGACCGGTAAATCGAGAGCCTGGCTTTCTGGCTCAGCTCCCTCTTCACCACGACAGATCGGCTCAGCGTCCGCATCACTGCAGACGCCGAACCAATCCGCCTGTCGATCTCCCGATCCCTCCTACCCTCACTCGTGAACAAGACCCCGAGATACTTAAACTCCTCCACTTGAGGTAGGACCTCTCCCCCGACCCGGAGGTGGCAAGCCACCCTTTTCCGGTCGAGAACCATGGTCTCAGATTTGGACAAATGTTATATGAATACTAATATTAATGTTTGATTTATCTGTGCTTAAATTACTGTTGTTGAAATGAATTTTATTATGACCATGAAACAGTTTGATGTTATGATCAGTAAGGTTTGGTTTAACAAGTGAATCATTATCTACACTCAGACACAATGTTCATTAGAGATAAATTAAAGTTAACATCACTGCACATAGATATTTTCTTACCCACAAACCAGAGCATCCTGTATCTGAAAGAAGGCGTGATGTTCTGAGGTTTGTTTGTTAAAACCTCTTCACACGTCCCGACTGGCCAAGTACATCAAGACATGAGAATATTAAAACAGGGTCGCTTGGGAGTGGTTCAGCATCCTGTTAGTTTGAGCAGAACTCTGGACTGGCCACCGAGGAGAAAACTCTCTAACCACCGCCTCTCTTGACAAGCTTTCCACAAGCTAAAAGCTGCCTACAGCTGACACAGCAGAACGGTTCCTTCAGCTATTCAGAAACAGCTGCTCTAGACGCAAACTAGTTCCAACCTGTGTGCCTGGTGACATCTCTGGACTGGAGCATCGGTGCTGAGGTTAATCTACTGAACCTCGATGCCCAGAGGTCATCCGACCTCCCTGACCTCCAGATCCGTGAACAGGCTCTCCAAAGAAAGGGTGAGGTAGACACACATGATTGCATCTGATGCTGTTTTGATATGAACCAACTTCAATCCTTTTCACACCCAGAACTCAGTTCTTCTAGATACAAGGTTCTGATAAACACACGCCATTCAATCACCACACATCACATCCCATCCACTTAGATTCATCCATCACAGTAGTCTTGGTTCACTTGTCATGTTTTTAATTGTTTAGAAAATAAATTCTTACCTTTTATAAACCTGACTGTCTGAATTGATACGAAGTGTGTTGATCCCTGAAAAAGCAAAGAATCCTAGAATCTTCTGATCAAACATCCAAAGACCAATCAGGTTGATGTTCTATATTTATATAGAATATCACAGCTTATAGGTCATAAGTTTTCTGGAAAAGGAATGAAATGTCCCAGCATGTGATTGCATGAGTTTTATATGCATGAAAAAATATTTGTAAATTAATTATGATATATTATTGTACAGACATGCCTCGTAAGGAGAGGAGGTGGAAGCGGCGACAGAAAGAGCTACTTGAGGCAGCCTAAGGCAGTGGGTCCCTCACCAGCTGGATAAAAAAAGAGTACAGGTAAGTTGCATCACAGCCACAAGTGTAGAAACAATAATGTACACCACTGCAATGTGTTGATGCCAGAAAATGTTTCTGTTAGCTACTTGATCATGGATTAGGTGCAAGACCTGTTAAATGTGAATCAGGGCCAGCTCTAGGTAATTTGGTGCCCAAGGCGAGACTGCCCATGTGCCCCCCCCCCCTCCCCCCAGCGCCGGCACCCCGCACACCACGCACAGCGCGTAGGGCACCCCGCCGGGGGAGGGGCACCAAATGCAAGCTTGTGAAAAAATAATATGTATATAATAAAGACAGATTTCAATTAGAAGATGTGCAAAGCAAGTTAACAGCATGTTTACAGAGAGAAAACAATACAAAAAGGAAAGAAGATGGGCCGTGTCGCACCACCCCCCCACCCCCCCACCCCAGCAGTACACCTGCGGAGGATGCAGCGGGCACAGTCATGGCTCCGAAAAGGCTGCAGGAGTCCGGGGCAGTAGAGAGACAAAAGAAAAAACTGCGGGATGATGCTGTTGCTTTGATTGCAGATAAGACAAGAATTTTAATGGAAATTCTTAATTTTTTTTATCTTTTTCTAATTTTAAACACGGGTGTGGTGAAGTTCAGAGGGTCGTTTGACCTAGCTTAAATTCGGACTTGTTGCTGCTGTTAATTAATCTGTTTTTGGTCAAATTTTGCCGAGTTTGGTAAGCATGCTGCTTTTCAGGACTTTTATTTGGTGTTTTTCGCACTCTGCTTCCGCACATTTAACATTTTGACTCTGCGTGGTATGGGCAGATTTCGTTCTCTGCTTCTCCAGTCTGTTAAAAGTATACTGCGCCACTCTGTCCCGCAGCCTCCCGTCCGCCTACCTACTAGTACCTATTAGTAGCTGAGTGAGAGAGGCTGAGAGGGAGAGAAACTCAGAGAAGCTTTGGAGCTTTTTTACTGCTGGAGAAAAAACGTTAGCCTAGTGAACTAGACCAAATTCTTGCTTTGCAAAGAATGGTCTAGGCACGCTCCATTGGAACCTCAGCAGCTCCTACCAGGACTCTGGCTAGCCAATCACAGCTCTCTAGAGGGGTTTCAAACACATTAAGAGCTGTGATTGGTCCATAATGGTGGGCCAGTCATAGTGCTCTATCTGCTTAGTGAACAAATCACAGAGCTTTATCCGCTTTGTGGGCCAATCAGGGCACTCTATATGCCTGGTGGGTGGGATGATGCAACAGAGTGAAACAAGAGTATGTCACATTCATTGTCCAATGGAATGCGGAGATCATTTGAAAGACAACGGTAGAACCCGCCTCACAACCGAGAGCCGTCAATGGAGCGTGGCCAGACTAAATAATCCATTTATTTAGTCTGGCTTGCCAGGCTAAAAAAACGTAGCAAGTCATCATCTTCCCAAATGCAGTTATTCTCTTCTGAATCAGCACTTCTTTAAAGAAGAAGAAATAGTTAAATGCAACAAAGGGAAATATCCTTTTATTCAGCCTGTTCATGCGACTTGTATCAAAAAATAAGTCTGAACAGTGTTAAAGGTTGCTCATCTAAAAAAATAGACCTTGAAGAGTTTGAAGATTTTTTTTGTTTTAATAAGTTCATCTTAAAACATCTTTCTCAAGTAAAATAAAGTTTCCTCTGTGAGGTCAGTTTTATTTTTAAATAAGCGGCTGTTTGTGATGAATCATGAGTTAACTATGGACATGATTTATATCATTATTAAATATCCTATGTGGCCTATAGGCTATGTAACTGAGATTTAATATGAAAAATTAGACAAACCTATTTTCAAATTAGGTATTTGCTCTATGTTGATTTATATTTCATAAACATTTACGGGCCAAGGGAACATCAGCTGCTGATGGTATAATTTGAAGAAAAAAGTCCGTTATGCTAACCTCCTCCCTTCATATTCAGAATTTTCTAGTTGTGTATAAAATGTGTGTATTGTGCCTCTCTAGTTCTTAATAAAGGTTAAATAGTTTTGAATTTAGTCATGTCACATGCCAGTGATTTATAAGCCATTATAAACCTATAAATAATCTATTTCAGTATTTTTTACCATGGTTTAAAACTTTTATCTTACTATAGAATGAATATGACAAATGATCTTTTTGTGATTGAATGCAGGCTCAAGGAACAAGTACATTCTAGGAGGAGCTCATGCCAAAAGTTCAGATCAGCCATCCACCAGCAGTTCAAGAGCTCAAGATCAGTTGTCAGCCATCACGTCTGACCCTTCTACAACATCACCCAGCCCTGACCAGGATCAGACCGAGCACAGCCCACAGCCAGCGCTTCTGAAGGCAGAGTGAGTCCTGGCTCTGAAAAAGCATCTGAAAATTACATTGGAGAAACACGTGTGCCACAACCGGTGCTTGTGGTGTGTGGACCTGTTACGTAGTTCTAAATAACAACAATATGGAGTTCCTGTGTTGTGTATGTTGTATTATGTAAATATCAGTCCTACTTTTTGGAAATAATAAGCAGTTTGTGCATACAAGAGAATTAAAGAGAATTTAAGGTGAAGCGCTTGCACATACTGTGTTATTGTGTTGTTTTTTCTGCTGGGGGAGGGGGCACCACGATGCATTTGTGCTTAGGGCACCAAAATAGCTAGCAACGGCCTTGCCCCCCCCCCCCCCCTCCCCCCAGTGCCTGCACGCCTCTCACCCAAACCCAAGTCCACCCACCCACCACACATTGGAAAAAGCAACTCCACAGTTATTCCTTAGTTACTTTTTTTTTTTTAAATATTCACACAGCAACTCTTTAAAGTCAACAGCCTGAAGAATAAATGTAAGCTTGAAAGATAAGTAACCTGGGAATATTACAATAACCGACAACTCAAAATGTTGTGCAAATGTCATGGGGGGGGGGGGGGGGGGGGGGATGCAAAATCAAAAGCAGCATTAAACTGTGCAATCAAAAGCAAAACTCAAATATCAAAGTGCCATCATGAAGAAAGTTCTACTTTCCAGTTTGTTCTACTGCTGTGGCCAGTCAGCAGGATCCATGGGGCCAGCAGCTCACACATGTTCACACACATCTGTTGAAGCTGATGATGGTGTCTCTTCAGGCTGTTGGACTGGAGCACTGAGTCTGCTGGTGTTGGGTTCTTCTTCTGTGAGAAGATAAACACACACACACGCACACACACACACACACACACACACACAAACACACACACACACACACACACACACACAGCAACTTAACCCTCTGATGCATGAATTAAGAACAGCGCCACTTTCACGTTCAGTATTCCTCGGTCATGTGCAGTGATGCTTTTCATTATTTTTAATGCTACTGGACTTTTTATTATATTGATCTTTTTTTAATCTGTTCTATGAAAACATGAATAAAATGATCTAAAACAGGTGGAAGTGAGCGCATCCATGGGGAATAGTTGAAAAAACGTATGTCTCACTCTCAGGTGCTCTTCAGCATCAAATAAATGTAGAACATGAGGAAGAAGAACCGGTGATCTGAGGCACTCTGAGGTTTTCATTTATTAAACAAGGAAACACCGACGTGTTTCGGTACGACCTTCTTCAGGGCATAAACCTTTATACCTTGAAGATGACTCACTATGTCACAAAAACTAATGTCCATCTTTTTTTTTTACATATGTACAGCCTAATTGACAATAACATCTTAAGGAGACAATTTCAGATGTGCATGCATGATTATTTAATATTCTCAATGCTAAATCAATGCTGCACTGATTGTGCCAAAAACACGTGTCTGGTGTGGATTTAAATAAATTAATTTTGCATATCGATATATGTGATAAGCCGTTTAATTTGAAAAAGTCCGTTTCTACTGCTGATTACAAATAGCCTAACAAGTAACTTACTCACCTGGCTCTAGATGCTGAGATTGTAGCTCAGTAAATGTTCTGCTGCTGCGTGATGCCTGGATGAAGACGCTGCAGCGTAAACAGAGCTGGATTAAATAAATGGACTACACTAGGCAGGCTGCATTTTTAGCCCCCCCTCCATCGATGTTATTTAATGAATTGAAATCTGAAACTTACCAAAGTTACTGATAAAAGTTCATTCGCATTTTACACAGCCTAGTCTTTGGTTACAAATTGGTTGTTTGTATGCCAAAATAAGACATGTGTTGCATGTTAAACATTCTATCAGACAATTTTTTGATATTAATAATGTATACGTCATTACACAGCTGTATTAAATGCTAATAAATTATCCTCATCTTATCGATTGGGAGTGACAATGTCAAGGCGGTACCAGTAAATAACCACTAGGTGTCATTATACTATGTAAACAGAGCAAATATGTGTCTCTATTTATAAATCACTACATTTAATTAAAAAGATTTTCTGCTAAATACAATAACTTACAACATTTATAAATGTTGACAAATTAATCACATGATGGTGGAAAGACATTCAAGAGTAAATAGATTAATGTGAATGGACTGAAGCATGTTTTAAAGGCGCAAAAACAAACTATAAACACGCAGCCTAAATTATTACAGAATAAATTTAATACAATCTATAATCTTAAAAGAAAGTATTTTAATAAAATAAAAACGTTATCTTAAGTTTTGATCTTGCTTTATGCTCATTCAGGCTGTTTTTGCCTCTGCTGAATCAGAAATTCTGTGACAATTTTCTGAGTGTGAACATATTGTTTGCTACACTATTGAAGATTAATAAAATCATTTGAAAAATAATTAATAAAACCAGCAACACTTACCAAGGAAACCATTTAGCACGCTCAGGGGCGTCGGACTGGGGGGGGGGGGGGGGGGGGGTACCGTTTACCCAGGGCCCACTGCAGGGAGGGGCCCTGAGACAGCTTTGAATAAAAATGTTTTATTGTTGTTGTTTTTTCCCCCCAACTTACTTAATGTCTTAATAAACTTCCCTTTACCTGGATAAAGAGGCTAAGAAACAGAATTTCACCTTAAAAATAATAACTGAATAATCTCTGAGGCATCTATCACCCCTTAAAAATGTGCAAAGTGGTTTAGTCCACACCAGCGGCCAGGGGCATGTACAGCTAATGAGACATCGCAGATGCTGACAGCCAGAGCTGGAGGCAGGAGAGTCAGTCATGTCTTTTCCCAAGAAAGGGAAATCTGGCTTCCAGAAAAGAAAAGAAAAGAAAAGAAGGAGAAAAAGTTAATTGAACAGAAGCAAGTATGGACTAGGTTTTTCAAGAAGGACGGTGAGCAGCAGCAGCAGAACACAGTGTTAGCTGATATTAGCTAGCTCTCAGAAGCTGCATTCATGTTAGGTGTTCAGTGTTAAACGCCTTTAGTTTCACCATCAAGATCAAATATAAATTAATCAGTGTTATCAGTGATAACACTGATTAATTTATATATAAATTAATCAGGATTATTATCACGGGTGGCCGCCGCCAATTAATTCGCGGACCTCGCAGTAAAAACAGGTTCACTCTGTGTGGATATTTCAGCTCCTTCCCAGTCATGGACCAGGACAAACTTGGTATCGATGGATTCGTGGTAATCTCAGGAATGTGAAGCTGCCACTGTTTTTCGTATAGCATGATGACACTGGTGTTAGAGGATTGTTATTGACTTGGTTAGATATTTTAAGCCTATTTTAAATTTCTTTATATTTGATCTTGAAAACGGACAATCTTATAATTGGGCTGATAATGCAGGGATTATAAACTTTAGAGTACATTACATTCACAGAGAGAACCTGGTTTATTTCATGTCATATGTATTTAATATATCAATATATATCAGTATTAGCAAAGCTTAGCATCATGAACCACATGGCCCTTTAGACGCAGTAGCAGCAGCAGCAGGGCCCTCATTGTCTCCAGAAAGCACTGAGGAGATGAGACAAGGTGAGTTATTCAGTTTACAAGCAATCATTAGCAGCAGATTTATCTGAAAGGACATGTTAGGTTATATTTTGGTGACCTAATTCATGATCCATTTTGCTTGTGTGGTGTCTGTCCCCCTTGCAGCAGAGAGATAGAATATGTGAAAGAGGATGATGTAAGTGAAGAAAGGGAAGGTAGTGAGGACGATGAGGAGAGGCCAGAAGAAGAAGACAGTGAGAGGCTGAGAAACACAGATGAGTGTCTGCCAGAGGATCCAGGACTATGGCCAGAGAAGCTCACTGGTCAACAGAGAGATACAATTGTCAGAAGACTGGCCCCTTTTCAGAAGTTGTCAGACATGACTGAAGAGCAGATGAAGATATCATGCCAGGCACTGATGAGAAAATATTACAAGGATCTCACAGCTGAATTTGAGAATGAGATGCTACACCTGAGAACAATATCTGGTGCCACATTCCCACACATTCAGTCTCCTCTTGAGCTGCTTAATGCCATTACAGAGCATTTTTGGAGAAGTTTGTATTGGACTGAGGATATTTTGCACACTACCTGTGACTGTTGCTGGGGGTGAACGGGCTTTTAGCAAACTGAAACTGGTGAAAAATTATTTGAGATCAACAATGTCCCAGGATAGACTGAACAGCCTAGCTCTTCTTTCTATTGAAAGCCAATTAGCCAAAGGATTGGACTTTAAAGATCTCATAAGTGATTTTGCTAACATGAAGACCCGTCAGTGGGCATTTACTGGAAAATAAATTCCAGGATATTTGTTTGAACACGTTGTTGGCAAATAAAAATAATTATATGTGAAGTCTGGGCATTTCACTTTTATTATGCTGGCATTTGTATTTGCTCAATATAGAGGTTAAACTAAGATCATATTTATTATCTTGTCTTATAGCATGACAAAAAGTGTGAAAGAGAGCAGTGGCGGCTGGTGAAAAATATTTTTGGTGGGGCTGTGCTATTTTTTTGTTTAAACAAACTTGTGCTTTCTGAGCTTTGTGCACAACTTCACTATTTCGTGAATTAAGCACAGCTCTTTTATTTCCTGTCTTACATTATTGGACAAACTGATTAATCCACGTGTGTCTGACTATCGGCACGCTGCCTTGCAGACCAAGGTTGAAAAATACTGCATTAAATTGCACATAAAATAACACGACCATAAATGGTCCACATCCACATTACTGTTTGTGAAACTAACATACTGGAGAATTTCATCACAATAATATTAAATAAACAAGTATGTACCTGATCTTTTGCATGCTGTTGGTGAAGCTCTGGATGACCCCTGTGATGGAGACAGAGTCAATGTTCCTCTTCTGCAGCTGGTTGAACAGCATGTCCACATGTGGCATGATCTTGTGACACAATACCAGCAGAAAGCCGAAATCTTCTTCCTCCAGCATTCTCACAAAGCCTCCTGCCTCTCTCTCAGTGACTGGATCAAAGTCATCCGAGTCTCTGATCATCTGGAAACATCTGAGGAGGTCATCCTTGTGCTCATACACTGTGTTGACATCTCTCTCTTGGACAAAATGTGCCGGTTCTGATCCACTTCTTCATTGTGTTTCTTCACTGCAAGCCTGTGTCCCTCGTCTCTAGCTGCATGGCTATGTTAGCTCTGCCTAGCATAGCTAGCTTCACCGTGTTGTTGTCCATGTGTGCCCGGGATAACTC